TCTGCTTAAGGCAGGCTTCTGACATGGTTTCCTGGGTCTGCTTCCCTCTTCAGAGAACTGAAGGTGGGGAGTGGGGAACTAGGCTGCTCTCTGAAGTCCATGAGGGTAATCCAAATAGCTTTTTTCTCCTTTCTCCTATCATATTTTGTTTTGGGTGGAAATCTCGTCCCACTGGTCTAGATGTTGCTCGGTTTTGCCAGTAACAGCACGATGTTTTAGCACACCCTGTTCATCTCATATGTCATTCCTGGTGTGAGAAGCTGCACGGTGACAAGCAGTGAACATGCTTCTTCCCACACTGGCTTAAGATTTGTGATAAAGTGTTCTTTTTGACACTGTGGCCGTGGTCCACGGCTCTAAGAGATAATATGCTGTGCCATCCCATGACAGTCCAAAAGAAGCCTCTTCGCTTCAATTTGAGGAATGATTCTGATGTTATTTGGCCTTGTATTAGGGCATTAGAGAGAGTGAGCTGTGCACCAAAGGTCTTCTTACAAAAGTAAATTGTGACACTTGAATATATAAGAATATGTAAGATTTTCTAAGGAAGAAGGAAAAAGATACACGAATAAGTAGGGATAAGAGGAACAGAGAGACTTCAGTTTTATTTCCTTAAGGCATCTTAAAGTTCTGAGATTGCACAGTTTTCTAAAGATGAAAGAGAGCTCTGGCATTCCCAGTAAAGACCCACTCATTCAAAATACTCTCCTGAGGGGAACTGGTCATGTGGCCTGAGAAACTTCATGCACAGTTAAAGGCAATCAAACAATTTAGAAAACTGACCATCTGTGTCTTAGTAGGTGAACCTAAGTCTAAAAGATACTGAGTGCATTTAAGAGCTCGTTGTCAATCTTTAGAGTTTGATTCTGAGGATACTGCATGTGCTTTTACCTACTGTTGAACCTGCCATCAGGCTGCAGGTGGCTCTTAGAGGACCCTCACAGGAGCAATGTGTCTTGCATCCTGAGGAGAGTGCTTATTAATCTAAATCAAATCAAGTGCTTAAGGATTGGACTGAGGGGCAGGGCACCATTAACTACCACAGAACCCTCACACAGCAGTGCATTTTCTCTTCTCTGACCTACTTATCAGCTTTAACAGGGTGTCATTATCTTTCAGTGTCTGTACATACATCAGGTAGTTTTCCTTATAATATTATTGAACCAGCCTCAGGATGGGGAAGTTTAAAATATCGCTGTATCATGAATATTTTTATTAAATTATAAAATGAAAAATTCAAATGAATTGAATAACATGTCTCTTTAGCTAGCACGGACTTTTTATATTCTAAAACTTTACAGTGAAAGTCTGTGACTCATAAGGTAGGTGGCATTCTTCCAAGTGATGCTAGACATATTATATTATTACATTTGCTGTAAAAGAGAAACTCAGAGTGCTATTTCAGTATTTTTAATGATGAGAGTTTTTGTCTTCACTATATATGATTTTCCTGTTTTAAGCCTGGGAAGATATTCAAATGAGGCATACATATTGAAAATAAACACGCTTACAGGCAAGTTAGCAAAAATCTGACCAGTGTCAGGGTTGCTATTGAGTGGAGTGTCAGTAAAGGCAGTAAGATCACCACAAATCAGGCTCACCATTAGCTTTTAGACCATGAAAGTTTCCCAGAATTGCTAGGAGACTGGAAAGTCAGAGAATATCTTCATCTCGGTCAACATCAGATGACCTAACCACTGCAACATAGTTTGTCTGGATGATTGAAAATTTGGAACAAAAACACCTGTGGTTCATCAGTTCCCAGGCTCTCCACTCAGCCTATTGAAATGGTCCAATAAGAATACTGGAATGCTGAGGGCATCCAGCAAATTTTTAACAGTTGTTCACAAAAATTAACATTTTATTTCTGCTCTTTACTCTAGGTTCTTCTGTTTCTGAAAAATGCTGGCTAAACCGCCATTCACTCAGTAGATTTACCAGGTGGAATATAACTGAACTGTTTCTGTCAACACGAGAGGGAGCACAGACACATCTATCAAATTGACACAGTCCTTGCACTTGATGAGCTCAGTGGAATGAGTCTTCCACCTCCAGTTTTTGTTAACGCCAGTGAGTGATGAATCAGAGATATTTTTGACATCTCAAAGCAATTCAAGGTGAGAGAACCAAGAAGACTGGTATTTGCCAGTCAGAACTATTAATAAACTTTTTCAGCACTAAGACTCCTCCAAAACTATTTAAATAGGCTGACATTTTATGGACTGCTATTCCCTAAGGATAGGAATGCTATCTGTGTTTTAAAGTGTGTAATTTATTTATATGCAGACAGCAGGTAGGAGTCTGGCTTCCTTCATAACCACAATAAATCCATGCTTGTTCCTTACGCTATTGATAGGATTTTCAGACCTGACCCAGTGTTTTTAGAATTAGAGGAATTAATTAGGTTGATGGGATTTTTCAGAGTGACTCATGTTCTTAGAAAGGCTAATGAGTCAAGATATTAACTTGTAATGACATTAGTATATGTTTACTTGATGTAGGTGTGTACTCAAACATGTAGTCACACAGCTTTTCAACAGAAAAAGAGATTACTATACATAAAAACTATATGCAATTGCATTTACAGATAAAGACATAAGAAATTTTCTTTATGTATTCTCTCTGTGATGTGAGAGACAACAAATAACTTGAAAAAGAAAAGAAGAGCAGCCCCTCTTTTCAGGTGCAGTATCAGCAATGCTGGTAAGATCAGCAATCTGGCTGGATTTACACAGATCAATATGAGAGTGATTGAAGACCTCAGTGCATTTTAGCATTTCTGGAGGGTAGAGGTTAAATGGGCACCAGCCATATTTCCACTAAACCAATGACAACTCACAGTGAAGTAGCAAAATATTCTTTGTTGATCTATGATAGCCACCTAAAATTACATAAAAAGTAAAGCAGATATAAAGGCAAGATTTAAAGGTAAATGACAGTAAGAAGAAGTGTTTGTCTTGCATGTCATAGTAAAGGCACATCCTGAAGAAAGCACTTTTTCTCTCTGGCAGAACATTTAACACATCAATACTAAAACATATTCTGAGACATTGTGTGGACAAATTCTACAGATGAAATATAGTGGTTCTGATGGAGTTGATTTATGCCAACATATCCAAGTCTAGGATACTTTTATAAAGTTCAGATCAGAAACATGATTGAACATATGATGGGAAAATGAAACAAAGGAATAAATATTTTACTGTCATATTCATCTTTCTATAAAATATGAATAAACCTTCAAAATACATAATGTGAACAGACTGAAAAGCAAATTTCTATGTCAGTAGTTATTGTAAATCCAAGAGGTTCTTGATCACTGCTGAACTGTACCTATACACTGAGTGAAGAACTTTTCTAAACTTCAATTTCCAGACAAATTCCTGACAAAATAAATCACAAGATCACAGATAATTCCAAGCAGTAACTGTTCATTCTCTTTCTTGAAATGTCCAGTCTTGGGGAAATGTTGAATAACCACATTTTCCTCTTTACTTGCTTGGTACTGAAACATTGCATGCATGATCTAGCACAGTTATGAAAGACCTACTTTTTTGTATGGAGGGAGCCAAAACAAATACTTGCTTCAAAACACACTAAATTAAGGTCAATTCTTTCATCATTTGTGCACAACAAATAACACCATTCTATCATTTGATGAGTGAGATAATAACCATTAAATAAGAATGGTAGAATCAACTCTATAGACTAAAGAGCAAAATATTTCTGTTGATATGTATTTTCACTGACATTAGAACGTGTGCTTTTTTTTTTTTTTTGTATCTCATTAAAATATTGGTAAAGAAATCACCAAGGATGTAAAAAGCCACAGGGTGAATGCAGGTGTCACTGTTTTGTAATACCCACAATATAATTAAACTATTCCTTGTAAATACATTCTTTAATCAATTCTTAAAGTTTTTCTATCTGCAAAATACTTTTGATTTAAACATGACTTTTGTTGCATGTTTACCATTCAGAAAATCTATCAGAATTGAATTCTGCTTGGGAGAACTATTCTTCCTACTTATCTTTTTTATTTTTTTTATTTTTCTCTGAATAATTAAATTAAAGAATTAAAAAATTAAAGAAATAAAAATAATTAGTTGAATGAATTAGAAACAAATGTATTATATTTTTTTCCATGGATAGACTGACATTTCAGGTGTATACAAATATGAAAAAGGGAACTAGAAAATGGCTACAAAAAGAAAGGAGCATTCATGTCATCACAGACAGAAATAAATTAATAGATAGAATGATCACACTTGCAATAATCCGGGAAAATTTATTGGTAACTAAGTCAAATTCATTTCACCTGGTTTTAGTTGCCTAAAGGATGATGTGAAGTTTAATATAATTTTCCTAACGTAAATTAAATTTGGAAGAAAGTTTGAATTCTTGAAACAAAGGGCTATGTTAGATGAAATAATTGCTCTTCTGTGGATACTCCTTCTCTGTTGCCTGTTGGGGCTGGTTGAACGATGATCTTAAACTGGACTAACATTAGGGCAGATCAATTAAGTATGACTTTAGGGAACTAAAAAAAAAAAAAAAAGTTAGTGTGTGTAACTGCAAGACAACTAGATCTGTGGTCTGTTTTACCTGTGTAACTAAGAAATTTAAGTAATCTCAGGTACAGACACTTAGATGACCAAACCAGGTTAAAGATCTTCAAAACAGCACATCCATGATATAGACTGGTGCTACACAACCATGATATACAGCTGGACTCCAGCCATTTTACCCCATCCCAGAAGCAGACAACATGTTGGCACATGTTACTGAAGACATGCCACAATACCGTTCATCATGGCAATTCTCTTTAGCTGTGGAAGTCATAAAACCGCTTCCTATCAGTCCTTTTCTTCTTTAAGACTCATGGAGGTTCAGCCCTCATTCCTTGCATAAGATTGCATAGGTGGTGCAAAAGAAAATCTGTATTACAGAAAACTCCCAACACTCCCATCGTTCCATTTTTGATAATGCATCTCTCTTACCTTCTATTAACTTCCCCGTCTGCTCTGCATTGCCCCCAGGCAATATCTTGGCAATGTAAGCTCCAATTTCCCCACTGCTCCCTGGAATTTCTTTTCCACCTACAACTCGGATTCCCAGTCCGTTGCCTGTGATCAAAAGAAAGAGAAAACTTTAAACAGAGATGAAACAATTAATAATTTACTGGAAAGAAAGGAAGAGAACAAGCCATCAGAGGACACTGAAGGTGTCACCAATAACTTCTGGTTATGTCTGGAAAACCAAGGTTAACTGCAGTTCCATCTGCTGCTTTCCTAAAGACTTAACTTTGGGCAGATCTTCTTGAGTAACTATTGTATGAGTGACATAACACAAATAACTGATTTACCAAAAATTACATTGAAGCTAAAATCATCTTCCTCTGACAACCTCTTTGCAGTATTAATTAAATTGAATTCAATTGCTAGAAATCCATGTGAAGCATGAATTAGAAAGATAGCTTTGTCATATGCCTACAACACACATGCAGTTTAGCTAAAAAATTATAATAGCTGAGCTTTTACAATGACATAATTGTGGAGGCATTGACAGAGATCCTTGAGCTTGCTCTTCTGAGCAGCAAAGCATGTACATTTACATGAATCTATACTTGGCAGATGATATTATTTTTCTTAACCATTTGCTTTTAACTGACATCTTTTACATCAAAGGATGCGCAAATTAACAAAATAGGAAAAGCTTACAATAAATCTGTGTAAAACATCATCAAATCTTGTATATTCTCCCTTTTTTAAAAATTGCAGAGATGATAATATTTTCATCACTCATTATTTTTACTAGAGAGAAGCAGATCTCTAATCTCCCTATGTACAAAACAATTAGACTGAAAACAAAAGCTTAAAATACAGTCTCATAATGCTAATCTTATGCACTGGTAATTTTTCGTGCTGTCTTGTTTTTGTTTTTTGTTTTTTTAAATACTTCCCATGCTAGAACACCAAATTTCTACTTTGAAGAAAATTTCATATGGGATTATTATCACTTTGATCTGGGAATATAAAGGCTGACTGGCCCACCTTTACTGTAATGGTTAAATAATTAATTTTCAATTTATTAATTTAATAAGCCAAACCTGCTCAGTGATTAGAATAATCAGCTATAGGAAGGTCACCACACCACCTCTTTGCAAAGCTTTATCTTTTCAGATTAAGGTAAGGCTTTTTCCTCATAATGCTATTAGTGTTTGGTAAGTCAGCTCTCAGTTTGCTTTAGAAGCAAGATTGTCACATTGAATTTCTGATCAAAAAAGTTTCCACTAGTTTTTCTATCCCAGTTTAGCTAAATCTATATCCTTTGCGCCTCAGCTTTCCTCATAATTTGATATTTTCCAAACATTTTCCTTAAAGGAGAGTGATTTTTAAGTGTAATTGGAACAAATGGCATGGTTATTTTAAATTAACTACTTTATTTCACTGCAAATTGCATAAAGTGAATGGGTACACCTATAAAAGCATTTAATCATAAGTCCATTCTTAGGACTTAGAAATTTATGTGGGCTGTTCTGCACAGAGAACTTCAGATCAAAAGCTACAGAAAGAGTCATCAATATGTTAGAGATTTGAGGCTCACAACTGGCAACTATTAAATTCAGCAAATCCAATAAACAACTATTCTTAGTCTACAACACACACAAACAAGGACACAGTATCTTACTCTTAACTCCCACAGTCAACATATGGAATTTTCAATATATCAGTAGGACTGGATGCTTTTCATCACAGGGGACAAAAAGTCCACAGGGTCAAGGTTTTATCATGATTCACTATACTGGCACTTCTACCTCTGGTAGCTTATTTGTAACAGAATGGCAGAGAAGCATATATATATATATATATATTTATATATATAATTTGTCATATAAATGAGTGTACACTTGATTTCAGAGGCAATCATATGGATACCTTTGCTAGGCAAATTTGAAAATCATGGCTGACATACTGGTTTACATTTTGCAAATCTAAGGTGTTTGTCCATATTCCTGCTAATAAAAGAAAGTATTCTACATGTTAATATATAAAGATTTTTATTCCTAGGCACTTTGAAAGGGCTTGTGATTTTATGTTTTCTGGTTTTAGATTCAAATGTACGACTGACAGTATGTATTCGGTAAGAGTATGCTTGCTAAGGGACAATCACAGGCATGTGTGTGTCTGTCTCTGTGTGTTTGTTGAAAAAAACATTACTAGAAAAAACACTTTAAGTTAAATTATGAAACACACATTTTTTGGTAGATAGAATGAATGACTTTTTGCCCACTGAGCTCTAAGTGCTATGTATTGGTTGACAAAGAAATATTTCTTTGTTCTTGCTGTATTTTCTCATGTGAAGATGGGATTTCAAACCTGTTTATAAAGTATCTATAGAAAATATTGAGCTTACTACTTCTGTTTGAAATGACATTGCCCAATTTATCACCTTGAATGCAGATAGTTTAAAAGTATCGTCCATCATATGCTTTCTCAGATAATTTCCCCCCTTTTTTTCTTGTTTGTTTGTTTGTTTGTTTGTTAATTATTGTTTTTTAAAAACTCTTGCGTCTCAATTTCCATCTCTCAGGCTATTTTGATATAACCAGACATTCATCTTTCAAATTTAGATTTTGAAATTAATGAACCGCTGTTTTCTTGTTTAGAAGATACAGGACCAGTTAGTATCAGAAAGCAAATCACTGTGCTTTGAATAAGAGAGGGCACCTTTCTGAATTATGAGTATTGATTTCCATGAAAAATATCTTTAGGAAAACATCTCTTCAAAGGGGATTTTACACATTTAAGATCCAGGGCTTTTTAGAATGCTTCAAAGGAAGAAGACTGCTAATAATTGCAACTGTTTTTACTGATCTCCCAAGGCTCTGATTCTAGTCTCCCATCTAATCTTAACTAAAGCTTTAAGATGCAGCATGCTAAGCTAAAAAAAAACCATCAAACCCAACAACCCCAAACCACCACAACCCAAACCCCAAAATGCATAGTGCTAAATTCAGCAAGATAGATCACACAACTAAATTGGTTTTACACTTTGATAAACAGAAAAAAAATAAATAAGAATGCTAAATCATGAGTTAGTTTGTGAGCCACTGACTTCTACAGCTGAACATACAGATTTTGCAGCTTTCACCTGCCCAGTGGATGCAGGGAAGGTGATGGATGTAGTTTTTCTGGATTTTACTGTAACTTTTGGTACTGGCCCTCACAGCACCCTTACGGACGAGCTGTCCAGCTGTGGGATGAGTGGGTTCACATTGTGCTTGGTGACAAACTGGCTGTAGGGCAGAGCTGAAAGGGCTGTAGTGAACTGGTGTGACAGGTGAGAGGTCACCAGTGGTGTTCCTCAGGAATCAGTTCTAGGGCCAGTTCTGGTAAATATATGTGCAAAGGGTCTGGATGCAGGAGTTGAATGCACCATTAATTAGCAAGTCTGATGATGATAAAAAACCTGGGAAGTGCTGTTGACTCCCTTGAAGAACAAGAGCTTCTTCAGAGGAATCAAGGCAGATTGGAGCTTTGGGCAATGATTAATGGGATGAAATTAAACTAGTGGAAATGTTGTATCCAGTATCTATGACACTGGGCACAAGAATAAATAAATGGGGAGGCTGTAGATCAGCCCTGCAGAGAGGGAACTGGGGGTGTTAGTGAGCAGCAGCTCCATGTGAGTCAGCAGCATGCCCAGGCAGCCAAGGGGGCAAATCCTGTCCTGGGATGCACCAAACACAGCATCACCAGCTGGTCAAAAACAGCAATTATCCCACTCTGTTCAGCATTGGTGCAGCCTCACCTTGAGTACTGAGCACAGTTCTGGGCCCCACGATTTGAAAAGGATGTGAAGGTCCTTTAATGTGTCCAAAGGAGGGCAACAAAAGTGGTGAAAGTGCTGAAAGGAATGTCCTGTGAGAGGCATCTGATGGTTTTGGGTTAATCAGGTTTGGAGAAGAGGCTGTAAGAGATGACCTCGTTGCTCTCTACAGCTTCCTGAAGAGGGGAAGTGGAGAGCGAAGTGCTGAGATCTTCTCCCTGTTATCCAGTAATAGGACTTGTGGGAATGATTCAAAGCTGTACCAGGGGAGGTTTACACTTAGAAGGTGGTCAAAGACTGGAACAGGTTTCCTTGAGACACATTTGTCCTTAATGACACACTTAAAACTTTTGTTCCACCCTGAATTGCTCAGCAGCTGGGCCAGATAATTTTTGTAGATCCCTTCCAACTGAAATGATTCTATTCTATTCTATTCTATTCTATTCTATTCTATTCTATTCTATTCTATTCTATTCTATTCTATTCTATTCCATTCCATTCCATTCCATTCCATTCTATTCTAATGAAGATTTCAATTGCAGAGTTGATTTTGAGAGAAATCCATACTTAGAGAAAAATATTGAATGGCCTTTAGCTTTTTTGCTTTTTGGCAAATAACCTACTTTGTGACTTCCAAAAGGAATTTCACTTGTCACTTCATATCCTTCCAGACATCACAGACTGTTTCAGTGATGCATATTCATGATATGTATACATATATATATTATAAATATACACACACACATAAAAATTATATATGAGTAGTGAATAACAACTTGACACATCAATTCTGTCACTGGTGACCTGGCAAACATCACTGCAAAAGTGTTTTAAAAATTCATCACTCTTTTTCTCTTAATTCCACCATGAGATATTTTCTGTTCTATTAGATTTATTTTGAGCTGGTGTAGTTCACTGTGTCTCAGATCACTTTGAAATCTGGTCCCCTTGTACATTTCATTGTGTCACAGTAGCAACACAGCAGAAAGACCATAATTTACTTCGCTGGAATAGGCCAACCATAACCTGGGCTCTGCAATTACAAATTGGTCTTTTTTATCCCTTATAGAGATAATAAAGATCAGACTGTTGCCAATCTGTTGCTGTTGCTCTGGTCACAGGGAAGCTCATGAAATCTTACAATCTTTTTACTACTTTGCTGAGCAGCTCCATTATAGCCATTAGAGTATAAACAGCCTAGATTTCCTGGAACTATTTCAGCATCTCAGCACTTGTCTTTCCAATCAAATGCCAATAACCTGTTACATAAGATAAAGGTTAAAGAAAAAAAAAA